TTACTTCATTTGGAACTTTAAGTAATTTGCTGAAAAATCTTTGAAATGGCCTCAAAAGTGCCTAGAATAATGGAGAGAAGTTTCTGTCTGAGACCCAAAGAAAGAGAAATTATATATAAGTATGTAAAAGCACATGACCAAAGTGAGCAGATAACCTCAAAGAATATGTTCTTTAAAATATTTATGTTTTACTCTGCAGTGGAATTCCACCAATCCCCTTTCTTTTTCCAATGTACCCATTTTCATGCCACTTGAAATTGCCCAGGAAACATGCCAGCATCTCCTTGAAGTGACGTGACTGGTGGTATCACTGCAGCTTTCTGGGGTGGAATTTGAAAGTCTTTGTTTTGTGGCATGCTTTCAGCTTGATGCAGAATAATTTCTTAGCTGAAGCATTTGGCAGAGCACTCTGCGTGACTCAGCAGCAGATCTCCATTTCAGATTCTGGTTATATTAATATCAGGCTTATTTTTTACATGAACTCATACAAAATTCTCACTTAAGCCAACAAAGCTACGTGGCATACTCCTCACTGTCTTGGGGAATAGAAAATGAAATCAACTACTGCTGTGTTTTTTGTTTTTTGTTTTTTTCTTTTGTATAGAGATCATTCTATTATTTAAGACTTCAATTTGGGTTAACTGGGGATAGCTGTGCAAATCCAACAAGTTCTCTAACACCAGGTACAAGTCATGAATTTGAGCTCCAGAATTTGGTATTAGTAGTGCAATCTTTATTAGCACACCCACTTGTTATTCATATGAGTGATTACACAATCTTGAAGGAGGCTCTCTTTAGCACAGGACCTGGCCTGTAGCTGTCACCTCTTTGTTACACACATCACTGTAGATTCAGCCTGGCTCTGAAGCAGCTGAGGGAATGCACTCAGCACAAGCACAAGCACAAGCAGGCTGAAGTACTGATGTGCTGCCAACTTCTTCAGTACCTGAAGTTAAGAACTGAAGAGCTGTTAATTTTCACTGGTGTGAGAAAGGAATGGGTCAGGAAAGATCAGTGAACAGCTCAAACTCAGATTATAACCACCCCATAGGTTTGGCCTAGCTGCTTGATAAGGCAGAGGTGACATCCTGTGACTTTCAACTCCCCACTATGTACCTTTGGAACCTATGGGGCAGTTCGAGTCTAAACTGAATGAGGGAGACGTGTCTCAAAGTTAGTTACATTTTTTTGGTTTTGTGACAAAAGTGATGACTAGGTAGAGGTAAGAGATACACATTTATACTATTGAAAAGATTAGCTAAGCCAAGCTGATGTACAGGAGCTCCCGTGTGGCACTGGTCTGACCACCGTGCAAATGTCTCATGTGTCACTGTTAAAATTACTTTTTGATGTACTGTGTGTCTTAGTGATGTCTTAGCCCAGCTGCCTAAACACATTTCTCCATATCATGAGTTTCACCAAGGACTTCTCCTAGCTGTTTCCTGCCATTGGCCTCTTCAAGGTCATTGGTCATTTTTTCACACAGAGGTTGGTGAGGCACTGGAACAGGTTGCCCAAGGAGGTTGTGGATGCCCCATCCTGGAGGCATTCAAGGCCAGGCTGGATGTGGCTCTGGGCAGCCTGGTCTGGTGGTGGGCGACCCTGCACATAGCAGGGGGGTTGAAACCAGATGATCACTGTGGTCCTTTTCAACCCAGGCCATTCTATGATTCTTTGATTCTATGATTGGTGCCACCTCCAAGAATGATGAGTTTTAAGTGGAGTTTCTCAGCAAAATGAAGGAAACATGAATTCAAACAGCACTCTGTGTATTTAGTTTGTGAATATTTGTAGTGAAAGACTAGACTATCAGTAGCTGAAAAGTTCTTTTTCAAGGTAGTTTTTTCCTTCCTAAATCTCCATTAGTCCATCCACGACTTTCTTAAATGGCAATTCTCAGTAGGCATTTTGACAAAATGATTATTTGATTTAGGAACACGCAGACACTTATTTTATATGGAATACGTGCTCCTGAACCATTTGGGGGAATCTGTAAATTCCTGATGCATGTTTTCTTGTGGTTTCAGCAACATTATAACCTAAAATGTATCACTTATCTATGAATTACAGTTCTGCACTTATTACTTAATCTTGAAGATAGATGGTTGGCAAGTTTTTAATTCTCCTAATCTTTAATCTTATTATTTGCCTGTTCCATGGTTTTTGATGTGGATTCTTGACATACTACTTTTACCTGCTAGCCAGTTTGGTTTTCAACATACAAATACTTTAAACCATCTGTTCTATGTGTTCAATTCATAGAGTTCAGCCCAGGAGAGCCTCAGAAAAAAGATGTGGGTAAATTTGAAAGACATTTGCCAAAAATAAATGAAGAACATAAAGTGACAGTCATAAATGTACAATTAAAGAGCTATGAAGCAAAACAAACACACAAACAAACAAACCAACAAACAAACCCAAAACACAGAGACTTTCTAATGCCCTTTGTAAATAAGAAACCTAAAAGTAACATCTTGAAAAAAGTGGGATAGGGTCAGGAACTTAACACAGAATCACAGAAATCACAGAATGGGTTGGGTAGGAAGAAGCTTTAAAGATCATCCAGTTCCAACATCTCTGCCATGGACAGGGCTGTCAAGCACTGGATCAGGCTGCCCAGGAACCTCGCCTTGAACACCTCCAGGGATGGGGCACCCACAGCTTCTGCGGGCAGCCTGTTGAAAACAATTATCCATACAAAAGCTGATAACATGTAGGACATCAGTGCAGAATATTTGGAAATTTACAGGCCACAAGTCTATGTACATGCGATATTGGCATACCACATATTATTTTCCCAGTCGTTTTATTTAAAGTGATGGTGACTTCTTACAGCCCTCAGTGATGGCAGAAGATTACATGGGCATAGCTTTCTGTGAGCCACGGAGCAGGAATCATGTTTTTAATGGGCTTACATGTGCATAACCATGAGAAAAAAAAAGGCAGTGCTCTGCTGGAAGGCCTGGGAGGTGCTGCTGCGTGCTGGGCCATTCTGAATACTGCTTATTCAGTCCAAAGATTGATTTTGATTGTCTACTGAAATGCAGGTCTGCTGATTTCTGCAGCTAATGGTATGTGAGAGGTTGCTGTAGTTCAGACTGAGCCGATGACTTATATTCAGAGGATGAAGCACCCACTTTCCAGATGGAATGCCCAAGAAAGTCTTTGCCATGATTTTAGTCCAAGACTGTTAGCAATAGGCTCCATACAAAGGTGCCAAAGCCCTCACAAAATTTATGAGGTTGGATGAAATGTAAATTTGCAACTCCCATGTCTGAAGGCATAAACCATATTTAAACAGCATGTGATTTCAATATTTGTGCTGCACATATGAACTCACAGACATTAACATACACATAATTATTAAAAGTAAGGAATTCCACTCGACATGGGACTGACGAAATCTTTTTTTTCCTGCATGTCTGCCCCAAAGGTGAATTCTTATGTGCATTCTTGGTGTTTAGCAAAGATGATCAAATTGCAGTCTTTCCTTTACAGGGGAATCCTAATTATTTCTCTCTCTTCCCGGTCACCTGCTTAAATCTGCAGGAGTCTAGTTCCTCTGAGCCTCAGTTGGCACTGTCATATTTGAAGGAAATTGGCCAATCGATCCAGAAGTCACTGAGGAAATGATGGGGGACAGAGAGATAGGTGCATAAATCCACAGAAACATCCACAGAAATACAGCACTGTGCATTTCCTTACAGGACTCATTTAAGAACATCCTCCTCTGATATAAGACTTCTCACCAGGATCTTCAACATCACTCTAAGCACTCAGGAACTGCTAACTTGGGAGAGAGTACAAAGCATATTGCAAAGTACAGCAAGAATAACCCTCTTCCCATTGTTAATCCCATGCAGAAAATTCAAATATAGACCTTACCAGTGCCACACAGTACAGTGTATTTTAAAGCCGCTTCATATATGGATACAAAAAAGGAAATGATCTGATGGATGTGACCAAAGACATCACCCCTCAACAGCTGAAGCCACGACCCTACATGGTGTGTGCTCTTATGTGCTCTAACAGAGGAACAACCTCACGAAACATCAGGACCTGGAGCTGGGGAAACTCAGATGGGATGCTTCATGTTGCTGTGCCTCATCTCTTGGCTGCAGCAGCTGAATCCTTCTTGTCATGTGCTCATAACTCACGCCAAATCCGTGGATTTTAGAGTGCTTAAAAACATCAGCTTCAGAGTGGAAATGTTTTCAATCATTGTAGCACGAGTGGCATCTAACGTCTGCTATGCCCTGCACAGTAAGTCATCAAGCAGGTCCATTATTTAACCATGACCCTTCGCCTTGCATTCAATAAGTAAAAGCTGCAGCTTTAGAACCGACAGGAAATGGCAGCACGCTCAGTTCTGCATGCTGGAGGCCATCGGTGTTCTGGGAGTTCTTCTGCCAAAAGCCTCATAGGGGTTTTGCCTCAGCACTGGTTAAACACGCACCCTTTCTAGACAGAACTGCTCGTTTGGGGGCTGTTTTGTGTTTGACGGTACGTGTGTGGGAGCACAATATTCTCTTCTGACATTTTAATGCGAGTCTAAGCGGCCGTGCCACAAGGTAGCTCTTCCTGCCCCTGGCTCTAAGGAAGCAATAAGGAATAAATCTCATTTCCAGTAGGGTTAGCTTCCAGTTAACTATCCGCACCACGGCGCGCCTCGGCACTCCCAACAACCGGCACGGCGCGCCTCGGCACTCCCAACAACCGGCACGGCGGGCAGCGGGCGGGACGGAGAGCTCTGTGGGACGGGGCCTCCCGCCAGCAGCCGTCCCTTCCCCCGCTCCCCGCCGGCAGCGAAGGCTCAACAGGGCTGCGGCTCCAGCCCCCGACGGCGGCTCCAGCCCGGCCCTCTCCGAGGCGGGGCGGGCGCTGCCCGGCGCGGCTCGGTCCCGCCCCGGCGGCTGCCCCGCCTCCCGGCCGCGGCGGCTGTCACGGGGCGAGCGGGCCGCGCCGGGCTCCTGCGGGGCGGGGGCGGCGCTGCGCGGGGCCCCGCGGTTTCCTCTCGGCGCGGCCGCGAGCGCCCGGCGGCACCCGGCCCCGCCACCATGTTCAGGCGGATCCTGCAGCGGGTAAGGCGGCGCGCTGCGCGGCGCTGCGTTGCGGCGGGGCGGCTCCCCCGCTTCCTGGTGCCGGCCGGGCTCGGCGGCGGGGCGGGAGGCACCGGCCCGAGCTGCGGCGCCGCCCGGCCCCGCCGCGGGCACGGAGTAGGCCGCGTGGGCGGCCCCGAGCCCCGGCGCCACGGGGGGGGTGGGCCCGGCTGGGGGCGGCGGGCGTGCGGAGCCGGGGGCCGCGCCCTCCTCGGGGGGCGGAGGGCTCCCCGCCGGGCTGAGCTCGGAGCCGGGGGGCGCGCCTCCATCGCGGCGCTCCGGGGGGCGAACGGGCTCGTAACGCCGGCCGCTACCCAGCCGCCTCTCGTCTGGTCGGAACCGGCTTTTCCTGCGGGCCCGGCTGGGCGGAAAGCCGGGCTGCGGCATCTGCCCGTTGAGACTCCGCGCTGCCCGCGGCTGAGAGGGCCGGGTTTGCGAGAGCGTGGGTGGGGGATGCGCGTGGTGCGCTCCGAGCTTCGTGCTTCCGAGGGACGGAGCGAGGTGGCAGGAGAGCTGCGAGCAGCGGGACTTCGGCGCTGCCCTCGTTGAACGTGGTACCGGCGTTTAGCTGCGTGCTGACTGCTCTGAGAAGTCACAGGCCTTCAGGGAGCGCTGAGATGGTGTGCAAAACAGCCTGGGGGAGGTTCACTCCTGTGTGTGAGAAACCTGAGGTCGTACAGAAGTTGTTGTGCATTGCAAGCAATCACCTTGGCTGGTGAAGTAGCTGTTTTTCACTGCTTCCCCAAATTACAAAACTGCATTGCTAACCAAGGTGCTCAGAAGTAAACAGGGAAACGGCAAAACTTGTGCGTGCATTTTGAGTGGTGGGAATAACTCTGCTTTTAAAAAGTCCCCCTCACAAAAGCCTCGTGCCCCGTTGGTAGAAACAGTGACTGTGTGTGTTACCTCATCCGTGTCTTTTGACCTGCACCTTGCCATTGGCAAAGCGTGGCAGTGACTTCTGATGTGCCTTGGTACTAAAAGGGAGCCTTTGGTTGCTGCTGCTGAACTTGCACAAAAAGAGAGTAAGTACTACAATTACAGGCAGTATTAAAAATGATAAGAATTTCTCATCACCGAGGCAGTGATTTGAGTGTCAACAGTCCTCCTTTTGGAACTTTCCTTGCGCATCATAGATGTAATTGGTTTAAAAACAAACGACCAAAAAGTAAGAACCAAACCAAACATGGTTTCTCATACGTATGTGTAGTTTATCATTTGCTGATGATAGGCAACAGGTGAACTCCTGCATTGCATGGCACTACTTTTGGTCCAGAAGGCTGGCTTCAGGCTGGGAAGGAGGAAGGCAGTAGTTACAAAGATGCTGTTTGTACTTCTAGACTCTTGAAATTCTGGTTCCTGAAGTCGTAAAACATCCAGTGTTTCTTTTAATACCCTTCCTGTTCCTGAGGACCCTTTTGTTTCCTCCACAGCTGTAATTTTTGCTTTTAAAAGAATACTCTCAGTAACTTTGCATGGCATGTTTTAAAAGTAGGAAGTATCACACTCTCGTTACTACACAACATCACTCAGTGTTTGAAGTTGGTGTTTCCACGCTGTCTTGGACTGGGACCTCCTTTTGGGTCCTTTCCTTGCAAGCTGTTCCTAAATTTTACTTATGTTTTCAATGCAACATCTCAAAGATCCATCTGTTCTATAAGTTTGCACTTAACGGGTTTGTGAAAAAAAAAAAATCATTCAGCCTCTTGCCACTTCTCAGTTTCACGCATCGATCATCATGCTGGCCTGGAGAAAAAGTGGTTTGTGCCAAAAAAGGTCTGTGTTACGTTCAGTCCTGAAGGGCCTTTGGTTCCAAGTGCACACCTGGGCTTCGCAGGCATTTCTGTAGCTGAAGTGGTACAGTTGCCATTCCTTTTGCACTGTGCTCAGGAACGGAGATATTTGCTTGTCTGGGATGTGCTGCATCTTGTACCATACCTATAATTTTCTTCTTTACGCCTGTGATTACAGGGCTGGCTAGGCAGCGTGCTCGCTTGGGTGCTCGTGCAGAACTGGTGGCAGGCAGTGAGGGAAGGCTTGGTGCCCAGGGAACACCGCATCCTTCCATTTAATGGAGTTGTAAAATAGCTGTCATGCTTCTAAAGAAGTAAACAGTACCACTGTTCTGTATCACAGCATGCTGTGTTTCTGGCATACCTGTTAATTGCTGCTAAGTGACAGCCTTGTCAGGTGTACTCAATTAGATTTACAATGTTTCCAGAGTTGAAAGTTTTGTACAGAGGCGTTGAGAAGGTGTTGACTATAAAACATTGACTTGTTGTGTGAACATATAAACTGCAGTACAAAGCGTGTCCTTTTCTCAAGAAGCTCCTCAAGAGAAAGTTTTATTGGAATGTACTTGGGCCATCAAGTCTTTAAGGACAGACGAGTAAAACGGAAGAATGGGAAAAGCGTTGGAGTTTGTTTGATGACAAGGGCGATGGCTTTTTTTCTTTCTTGTGTCGTCTTTTTCCATTCTTGTGCCTCGCTTTTTGGTTCAGAACCTTGATATATTAGGGCAGTAGTGCCTTATGTCATATTTCAACGTGCACTGGGAAAACTGCATAAACCCATTTTTTTTTTAAAGACGTTCTCAAGGCTTGAAGTCTTCTTCAAAGATTAAATTAATTCTGAATTAAAACCGCTGAAAAGAGCGTCACAAGTGAATGGAGTGTAGGTACAGACAGATAAATGACTGGGCAGAAACAACATGGGAGTGATCCATATTTATACCGTGTCACTTTAATCCATTAGCTCAACTCATTCATTACATAATTTTCTATTCCTTTTCAGAAAACAAGCTGCAGTCGTTGTGCTTTCTGTTGTTAATGATGTTTCTTTACATTAGCTTGAAGTTTGGAGAAAACACAACCAAAAACATTATGCAGTTTAGCATGTTTTCACAGCTGTAGTGCTGTAAGTAGAAATGTATGCTTCTCAACTAAATAAACAAATATAATCCAGACAATTAGGAAGCAAATACCTTGGCTGAGAAACTAATTTTTCATCAGCTCTATGTATAGCTTGAGAGTCAAATGCTGGTTGCGTTAGAGTACAAATACAGAATCCCGTGTGAAGAACTACTCTTCCTGTATGATTCATACGTCATTCTTCTGCTCCCCCTCATTGCCCAGGGCTTTATTCAGTCAAGAATAATAAAGGTAACTGAAAACAAAGAGCATCACTCTGGACCTTCCCTGAGTTCACCAGGCAAACCCATTTGTTACGCTGTTCAATGGGTTGTGATTTATTTTTTTTAATGGAATGGGGCATAGCAGTGATGTGGGAGCCTCGCTTAAATATCTGTGAATATACTTTGATCATGGGATGCCCAGTAAAAGAAAAAAAAGTCCCAGTGTCTCAATCTCCCCATTCTTTGTCTGGAGAAGGATGTTTCAATTACAGTGCAACTTTAGAAGAAATGTTAGTTGCACTGATAGTCTTGGTATCCATAACATCTTCCCAAATGTGTATTCTGTTATTTCTGACAGATTGTATCACTTTGCAAGTAGATGATTGAGTGCGTTTCTCCTGATAGGTACTTAATGACTTTCCTCCTTCCCACCCTTCTTCCTCATGTATGCTGCTTCCTGGAAAATGCCACCTGCTGAACCTTCTACAGCTATGTTGAATTACACTTTCTGTTTTGAAGGAAGCATGTTGTTTTTTAAATCCCTCAAAGGATTTAACCAGGAACTGTTTGGTAATTTCTTTGTCACGTGTTTCATGTAGTAAGATGTGCCACGTAGTACATTTTAGTGTGATAATAGCATGTCTGAAGTGTTTCATAAAGCAAGTACTTTAATCAACCATGTAATAACGATACTGTGCTTTACTATAACAACTTTCCTCCTGAAGCTTGTACTGATCTCCAATTTGTAGTTCTACACCAGCAGAACTTAACATGCAGATCTCACTGTGAAACAGTTCTGTCACACGATAGCTGACTAACAGTGCACTGTAGCGCTGTATGAGATGTTATAATGTAAAGTGAAGGAATGTTCTTGTATCTTAGCAGTCACAGAAGGTTCTTGGTTTTGGGAAGAAGTGGTTCATTCACTGTGCAGTTATCAGGTATGGCTGAAGTGGAGGTGTGCTCTGCTCGGTTCAGTAGGCCAACTGGCCATCTGCTGCTATCACTGCCCAAGCTGTCAGCTCCTGTGTAGTTTCTCCCTTAGGATTGTCATAGAATTCTTAGAGTTGGAAGGGACCTTCAAGGGCCATCTAGTCCAACTTCCCTGCAATAAACAGGAAAATCACAGCTACATCAGGTTGCCCAGGGACTTATCCAGCCTTGCCTCGAAAGTCTCCAGGGATGGGGCACCAACCATTCTGCTGTCCCAGACTGATTTCTCCAGATTTTGGAAAGGAAGAGTGGAGCCAAAGGCATCCACTTGCTGTAAATGATTACTGAAGAAACATGTTGTCTGTTAAAGCTGACACTTTCTCCATTTCAAAGCATCCATTTTACTTGTGGATGTAGGTATTAGGACAGGTAGGGTTCTGTTTTTCAGCCTTCTTGGGAACAGAAGATGCTAGTTGTCATACAAATCCTTGTCATCCTTAAATTTCTAAAGCTTTTTGAAAAACTCCTATAAATAAAATTGCTTCTTATATCTTGAAATTTCAGCTCCTTTGTGGGAGAAAACTTTAACACCTTATTTCATGTTCCCTTATGTAGATATGTGTATATACATTATCAAATCACCAAGGTTGGAAAGACCTCTAAGATCATCCAGTCCAGCAGCCCACCTATCACCTTTGGACTCTTTGTTCTCACACAAAACAATGTGCACACAAGTGCAGCCCAGCCTCCTGCTGATGACCCAGAAACGTCTGAAATGGGGAGAGATGTTCCCCTCTTACACTTGCTGTCACCAGCTCCTGATAGCTTGCTTCTGACACACTTACTCGCTTCCCCTTGATTCATCTGTGGATCTATTCTAAAATCAGCATCTGGTTGGGCATCAATCCTTAATCAGTAAATTTGACCTTTTAATTACGTATTTCTTTTTTAAATTTGATTACAAGACTGTAATCTATACGAGAGTTTGAAATAGAGCACACTATACCAAACACGGCAGGGAAGGCACTTCATTTTCAAATTATGGAGAAGCTTGCATGTTGTAGGTATGTTATCAATCAGACTGATTGGTCTGAAAAGAAAGGATATGTTAAAGAAAATTCTAAAGCAAACTTTTGGAGGTTCCAAGATTTAAAAATTAAAACTGTTTCCTTCTGCCCCCCACTCTGTAAATTTCCATCTATATATTTAGATTTCTGTATCTTTAATCCCCCTGTGTTAGATCAGAAATCCCTATACGAAGCTATGAATATTTCTGGCTGGGTTGAAGCAGTGTTACTTCATCCCACTTTCAGTTGTCCTCGTGGAATTAGATAATGAACTTTTATTCTTTGTAGAATCTAGGATTGCATATCAGTACTGAGATAATTTATTTGCTGGTGTTTGCTTTGAGAATGGTAACTGTTCTGCCATTGGTCAGGCAGTAGAGTTCTGGAGGTGAGTAAAAGCAGCAGCCACCGCTGCTGAAAGTGTTCAGATTGTAACTTGTGATGTTTTCCTCTTGGATGGAGAGAGCTAATTTAACAGTAGGGTGAGTGATATAAGGGCAGACTTGAGTTTAAATCTTTGTTTTGTGTTGAGTGTTCGTAAGAGGAATCTATTTTAAATCCTGGCCTTTGCATTTGCTGTCTGCTTGATGTTTGATACTTCGAGTGCTTTGAGAGTCTTGGATAAAAGCTTTTGTTAAGTGTTGCACTGAAAATTACCTAATTACTTTGTGAGCTCGTTCATTTCGTTTCACTCATGGAAGGAAGGTCTGTGTTTTTGCAGAGAGGCCTTTGTAAAGGTTACATAGCATGCTCTATTAAATACAGGCTGCAGACGTTCATTTTGCCCCTCCTTTTCTCTTTCAGACTCCGGGCAGAGTTGGGTCTCAGAGCTCGGATTCCGATTCATCTGCCGCTCCAGGAAATGCCGTGGATGTGAACAATGAGGGCTCCTCTGAGGTACTGTGCACTGATTTGTGGGACTGGAGTTGTGAATCTTGTGTCTGCTTCTCTCTGACCCACAAAGCTGTTGGGCATTCCTTTGGGTGCCGCTCCTAAATAGCAGCTGTTCTATGTAAATACTCAAAAGTGACATTGTCTAAAAATAGGTTCTAATTTAAATAAAAAAGTGAGAACAGACTGTATTTATGTGACTTTTGTTTGTTTATCTAAATGATGACAGGCAATCCTTCCTGTTGTCATAGACATGAATGATTAAAATGAAAAGCAATAAGATACAAGCTTAACAATCCTCATTTATAAATGTTTAATGAATTTTGAAAACTCACCTGTACTTCTTTTTCACCTTGCACATGTTAGTTATAATGTATTTTGGGAACCTCCTTCTCCACGTGAAATATCAAATGTGTTGGGTGTGTTTGGTCTGTGTACATAAAGCTGCCATTTGTAAGTCCTATCAATTTTCCTAATGTGCTTTATGCCACGCTTAGCTAGCAGAGTAAGGTCTTATCCTTGCTTCTATCCTACGTTACAACGTCTTTGGATTTACAGTGTTGTCAAATATTAACTTTTAGAAATGCACGCTGACTTCACTGGCTGTTGAAGCTATTTTGTGCTAATGTAGCCTGATTACTGAGCTTGCGAATGTTTCAAGCTTAGCATACAAATGCAGTGCAAGGTTAATTACTCCTATTACAGCATTAAAGGGAGCAAAGTGCCCTTTCTTACACTGAATGAAGTGTATGATGAGTCAAAAGCTCGTATGTCTGTTATGATAAGTGATAAGAGAACTTCTCCCTGTGCTGTTCAAAATTCTAATTGCCTTCCATCTGTGCATCTGCTTATGTCTTAGTTCTAAAAGCTATGTTAAATCAGTGTGATCAGACATGGCTTAATTTATTGCTGTATGTTATACATGTTATGCATCTGTGAGTTTTGTATGCATATTTACACTGTCCCTGAGGTGAATAAATATTCTTAAAGAGTGTCTAAAATCTCGTCACTATTTCAATTAACTACAGCATAGAAATTAACAATGAGATGATTGCTTCTTTCCAAAGTTTGGCTAAAATTGAACAATTCTCTTATCATGATTGTAATATCGCTGGTGGGTGTCATGAGGTACCTCAATACTAATAGTGTTTTTTGTTGACATAAGCCATACTTTGAAAGTGCTGGTGTGCCTGCATTACTGCACCCTTAGTTCTTTCTGCCCTGCTGAAACTCAAGCCAGATCACTGGCTGTGCCACTTCTGGATGATGCTGTGTAACATATATAACATAAAAGTATCTTTAGTAGTTATCAGTAATTCCACTATCAGCTACATTGCTTACAGGTAGGGTTTTGCATGTGACTTCAAAATCTGATCAAATCTGAGTTCTGAAGCTGGTGATTGTTTGTTGCTCTCTGAGATCCATGCATCACTGTGTGCAGCTTGAGCCTTTCTCTTGGTTGTGCTTTTCCGTTGCAGCTGGCCTGAGGTGTTTACTTTCTGAGAACTCTCAAATCAAACCACTGTCGTCAGGCTTTGCAGAATGTTTGTTCTCCTTTATATAGTTATGATCCCACCTGGTTCTCCAGTATTGCATAAAACAAACAAACAAAAATCTAATCGACTTGTTTTCATTCCTGTTTCATAGCTAGATTTTCTAACCTGTATTACTGTAAGATTCAAATGAGTAATTACTAAATCTGAGTAGATTCTCATGTTTTTTGTCTCCTTCGAACCAGGTTGAAATCAATCCTGAGTTTTGAAAATTGTAGTATAAAACAAAAGCAGTGAGGGAGGCTGATTAAGTTAAAACTATTGATTGCTCAGCAAGAGAAATAGGCCTGTTTTAGTTCCTACTGAGGCCTTGTCAGCACTATGGATCACACATGGGCCTGAAGTTAACTCTAAATGTATCTTTTATTCACTGTATTCACTGTGCGGCCTGACAGAAGGAAAAGTTCAGGCCTGTCCTTCCTTTGTATCTTAGATTCCAATGCAACTCCGTGTGCAATATAGGGTCACTAAATATTCCACGTTTGCAGGGTGTCCACCTGTGAGTTACACTTCTGCTATACTGTCATGTGGCTGCATTGGTGGGACAGGTCTGTCTCTAGACCCCATTTTGCAGGTGTGCCTACAGGTGCAGGTGTCCCACAGCCACAGCATGGATGGGCACCCACAGCACGCTGTGCTACGTCAGCTTTTTCTGGGGGTTGAGCATGTCTAAAGCTGCTGTTCTTTAGAAACTCATTTAACTTTTGGCTTTGGTAAATCCCTGGTGAGCATGTTTAATCCACCTCTCCCATCCCCCGTTTTTTTTTTTTTCCTTCAGTTCTGCCAAAATGGTGTTTCTGTTTCCCTAAGTGAGAATGCCAACTGAGCGTGCAGTTGCACTCGTGCCTGTGCCTCTCATTTTACTGTAAATTTGCTTACTAATTTACAGAAGTATTTCTGCAGTCTCTGTAATAATTTTGATCTCTTTCTGTCCTGGATCTGAAAATGTCTGTGGGAAACGGCCTGGTGGATCTGATGCGATGCCTTATAATGGTTCCATTCATGACTTGCTATGCAGCACATTCCTCTGTCACATGAAGGGGGTCCCAAGGGTGTCTGGAAAAGACTTACTAGTATGCATTATGGTACTAGCTTTTAACATGTGGTTTAGATTTATTTTCACATTCTTAACTGTTCCTTTTTGTCTTCTTCATGGTATTGAGACATGCTTTGCAAAAATTAAACGTCCGAAAGGAAATAGCTGCAGACTTTGCCTTAGTGACTGTAAGAACTTCCTGCATAAGAATTTGAACGCTATTTGATTCCAAAATCTTTTTGTTTTTATTAATTTCTTAAAGACAAATATACGTTCCACAGGGCTTCATCTGTCCACTCTGTATGAAAGTGTGTGTAACTCCTACTGATCTGTCTGAACATTACCAGAATGAACACATGGGGACAGAAGGAAGACAGGAGCTTCGTGACATTCCAGCTGTTACTGTGGGTCTTGTTTATTTTGTTTCAATAGCTTTGGTGATGGATTGTTTTAAATGAACATACCTGTTTTCTCGTGGCTTGGATATCAACCTTTTAAAAGTGTGTTTATTTTGATTCCTCTTTAAAAAGTAGTTGATCTCTTTGCAAGATTGAGAAGCATACATTCAGCAGCAGAATGCATTTACGTATATCTCTCCAGTTTGCAGTTATGTCTCATGTGAACTATTCCCAATATTAGGAGACTTAAATTCACTCATATATATCTATTGAACGGCTTTTACTCATTTTTCTTGTAAGCTGAGCTTACATTATTGGCTATATTCTACTTCAGACACAGATTCCTGATAAATACAGTATTAGATCTGGTTTAAGATATTGTTAGCTAACATTTTAAAGCAGATTTCTAGAGGGAGACTGATATATTGTGTAAGGATGGAGCTGAAGATAAAAATTCCACATATAATTTAAAACCTTTTTTCCCTTTAACATTTTAGAGATTTATAGGTGGGGGAAAAAAAACACACACACACACAAAAAAAGACGAAAAATACACAACATTTTATTGAAAATGTTTTATATCCTTGACAAAATACGAAGGCTGTTTCAATTAGTAGGCTTTAAGTACTAGTAATGCACTTCTAAATTCTTACAGCTGTGGAATGTAGAATCTAAAATAATAGCCTTCAGCTATCTGATTGGTTTTCTTGTTTTTTTTCTCCCTCCTCGAACCTTCAGATTTGACTTTTAGGAGCAGGTAGCTTCCCATGCACTAAATGATCTTGAGTGGAGATAAAACTGTTTTACGTTCTTTCTGCCAGTGTTACTTCTGAGTTTTGGAATCTGTTTTTTTGTAGCTGTATGACAGAGGAGAAAGATCTAAAGGTGCTGGTCAACAGACTGCTGAGCATGAGCCAGCAGTGTGCCCAGGTGGCCAAGAAGGCCAATGGCATGGTGGCTTGTATCAGAAATAGTGCAGTCAGCAGGAGCAGGGAGCTGAGCTGTATTCTGTGCTGGTGAGGCTGCACCTTGAGCATTGTGTTCAGTTTTGGACCCCTCAAAGAAAGACAAGGAGGCCCTGGAGTGTGTCCAGAGAAGGGCAACACAGCTGCGCGGCATCTGGAACACAAGTCTAATGGGGAGCTGCTGAGGGAACTGGGATTGTTCAGTTTTGAGGAGGCTCAGGAGACATTATTGCCCTCTGAAATGACCTGAAAGGAGTTTTTAGTGAAGTGGGGGTTGGTCTCCTGAGTAACAGTGATAGAATGAGGGCTAACGGCCTCAAGTTGCACCACGGGAGGTTCAGGTTGAGTATCAGAAAGAATTTCTTCTCAGAAAGAGTGCTTCTGCACTAGCACAGGCTGCCCAGGGAAATGGTGGGGTCACTGTCACTGGAGGTGGCCACATCCGTGTGGATGTGGCACCAAACAGTGTAGTGGTGGTGGGTTGACAGTTGGATTTGGTGATCTTAGAGGTGTTTTCCAACTTTTGTGATTCTGTGATTAACTCATCACTGCCTCCTGTTGAAGCAAGGACTGTCTATAGTGCTGTGTTTATAGTTGCATTGCCTTTATTCTTTTGATTTTCTGGTCACTGTGCAAGTGCCTTATGTGAGTAAGCTACAAGTTACTTCTGTCTTATGGTGACAGATTGGGGCATTCCTGAAGCACTGGTATCAATAGATACTGTGATGTGAGCCATTAGAAATAGTTTGGTTACTCTTTCATATAACCTGGGCTATTTTTAATACAGTTATATGGAGTTGAATGTAGCTTCTTGCCCACTTTTGATTTTCAATCATCAGTTAGTTCTGCTTGATGGTAGCATATTACAACTTTTTAATGTAATAGAACTTCTGTATTGAGCATGGTATATGAAATACAAATTCATTTGATTCTAACTGAAACATCTGAAGCTTTTTGGCTCAGCGATTCAGAAAAGAGGTGAGAAAAAAGGCTTCATCTATTATATTAGAGTTCATGGAAGTTCTGAGAAAGTGAAACATCTGCTAATCGTTATCAGTGCTGGTATGTACAATTTTAAATATTTGACTCCTGAGAAGCTGGTCATTTGTATTTGTTGATGGGAAATGATAGTTTGTAGTTACAACAAGCACATCTTGATTCTGAAACAGTAATGCCTGTCACCCTTCACTGTGTCTTTGCCATTCCTAAGACAGTGCTGTAAGAAGAGTGTAATCGGCTATCAGTGCCATCTGCTATTAGTGTCATCTTTTGCAGCAGATGTACAAAACATTGCTGACTTCTGCTTGCTTAGAATGATGTATGGGTGTCTGTGACTTGCTGATGCTACTGTGAAAAGCTCAAATACAGTTTGCTGGAAACAGTGCTGAAGAAGCTCTTGAGTTCATTCAATGCCAGTGCATTGTCCTCAAGTGTGGAGAAAGAAAGCATTGCAAGGTCAGTGTTTAGTCTCATGTTGTGTGACCCAAAAAAAATGTCTCTTCTTTGAAAAAGCACTGATGCCTTGCTTTTCAGTTTGCCTATTGCTTTCTTCCCTAACCTCTAACCTCTCTTTTGCTGATAGGTGCTCCCTGCTGATTAAAACTGAAGTAACTTAGGTCACTTGTCACCTTGTGATAAGTGTTCTCCTTGCCTTTCCCTCCCTCTGTCATCTTTGCAGGGAAGGATGGTGCCATTCTTCGGGCGAGGTGTTCCCTCCCAAAACTTCTGAGTGTGTCTAATGTCCTGCTGCAGGAAAGCAGACAGCACTCACCTGGAGATTTATTTGTGGTCTTTCTCTTAAATGGCTCTCCTTGCAGTCCTTCTTTTTCAAACTAGGGATTGCACGATATGATAAGTGGTTAAAATAACAGTGAAGTATTTTTCCCCACTCCTCACGCACTGAAGAAACTTTACCTTAAAAGTTGCAGGCATACTTAGCTTCAAGAACAGATACCGTAATGTTGGCAGTTGTCCTTGTCAATGTATAACCAACTTGGCTGAACAAATTCCTTATGGAAGCTGAATGTATCACCATGTTCCCAGATAGAACACTGTTCCCCTTTTATACGTACCATATAACTTTTTCTTTTTTTAATATATATGACTTTTATACATAGAGCTGTCACTAACAAAAGCTGTGTGGTTTGTTCTGTTTTTTTTTTTTCTTTTTTTCCCAAAAGGAACGATCTATTTCTTTGCTGTCTCTTTTGAACACTGATGTTGATTAAACAGTAAGTCAGAGAGGCATAATTTCACACTTCCTGGTTTCACCAGAGGCATTCAGAAAGCCACTGTGTGGTACTCCTGCAGTGTTCAGAATGTAGTGGCCATTAATGTCTATTGTTTTAGCTGCAGTGTGGCTAAACCTAAGGCAATATTTAATAGTTCATTTGGGTTATTTTTGTGACTTCACAGATGCTTAGTAAGTACACATTTCTTGGCTAATACAAACAAAATATGAAGTTGTTTTCTGAATAGGCTTTTTATAGCCTGTTTGCCTAGAGTGTACTTTGGAATACTACATATGCAGAAATGTTTTCTGTTTTTGTTTGAAAATACTTTGTTCTTGATGCAATTTACACCTTGGTGCTACTTGCCTGCTTTGCACCAGCACAAAAATCATTGGCTGAGCTACACTGGTACGTTAATTTTCTGCAGTGTCTGAACAATACTAAGAGAATGAAGAATCAGAGATGCTGATCTGATTTGACTTGGATGTGTGCTGCCACTTTCTTTTAAGAAGCAGGGAATCCACTGAATTAGAATTTCTAATTCGTGACAAAATTGTAGTCTTGTAGGTTGTGACAGAACTGTAGTCTTACTCATCAATAGTGATAGAAACAGAGGAGAACCAAACTAGAAATTATGTTGGCTCTATTCTTGTCAAGAAGAATCCAGCTTCTTTCCTGAAAAGACATTGTCTACAATGTGTTACAAAACAAACTGTAGCAAGGTACCCCTTTTCTTTTTGATCAGGAAGTTAAATAGTTACTATGAAGTTGAGATGGACCCTGGGTCTTAAATATCAGAAATGTAACATTTTAAGGTACTTTTCTAATAATTAAATTAAATAGAGATGTCATCTCAGGAAACTGTTGGCATCTTTTTGTGTGTGTAAACATAGATTAGGGTGTTTTTTTTTTTTTTTTCTGGTAGAAGCATGGAAAAAAAATCTGTCAACATTCTCCTTTAAAGAATATGTAAAGAAAGTGACCTTATTTGTTCTTTCACTTAAAGTATCCCATAGTTATATTCTTTATATATTCTATAACTCAATCAATATGTAAGACCTCTGAAGTAGATTGCAGGCGTGGTCTTGCCCTTGCTCTTGAGGAAGGCAATTTAATTTGCTTCTGAGAACTTCCTGAGGATTTAGTTAATTGCTTCAATGTGTGTTAAGGAAACAAAACCTAAAAATGACATGATACAGCTCTTAGATGTCAGACTATTTTTGTTCTCTGGCCTGGAGTATGTACACTTCCCTAATCTGTCCTATGAAATGGTTTGGTCTTTGAATCACCCTGTAACTGAAGGATATCTGAGTTTTAGTTTCAAGTTATTATGTGAATGCTGGTGATGCCCTGTATCTGGAAAGGTTGTGAAGGTTCAGCTTTGGTGGAAAAACACTTAACAATGAATTTAGAATCTTTCCAAGTAATTGTCACACTTAAAAACTAAAATCAGCTCCAGGAGGGTGATTATGTCTCTGAGCATGTGAACGTGCTCTTGAACTTTCTGTTCTAAATGTGCTGCTCAGTGTTGTTACAGCAAGCTGATGCTCTGAACAATACACTCGTGAAAAGGTTATAAATGTTCCTCTGAATTCTGAGACACTTTAAAACATAGGTCATGACTAGAAATATTACAGCTTTGGACTTGAGTCTTAGCTATCACTTTTTGTTCGTGTGATTCACTGTAAGCAGACTGTAAACTCGAGTGCTGGCACAGTATTTCTGGAAGGTCAAAGATGAAGCCAAGAAACTCAAATGTATGTAAACTGAGAGCCTGGTCATATAAATGACAATACTGGATTAGACATCA